TGGGAGTAGGAGGGTGGAAACCAACAGATGGAAATGGCATGGTAGAGTTTCTTGTCATTTTCGAGAAATTAGAGAAAAATGTAGTTTTTAGGAAAATATTTTCCAAAATATTAAAGTCAACCGAACATGGGAAAATTGGACTCGTCCACACCAAACACACTCTAAGTCTTAATATCAAATTAGTTGGGACTATATGAATCATATGTATTCATTTTGCTTTTCGGGTTATCTCTTCCACCCCTCATTCCTTATCTAGGTGTAACTCACATAGACATAGTTGCCAGAAGTTACATGCCCAAAAGGAGACTTTCATTTGTCTTCTTTGTGGTTGTACCGTTGTATGCCTTCTGAGTGCTTTCTTTACAATAGCTTGATACTAATCACTGTTCACTCTAATTTTGTCATTTTGGTTCTTTTGTGTTATTCTGAATTGGGTAAAGTTGATTCTTTTATGGAAAAATGATGCATTGCTGAAATAATTGATTTGTGGGTTGTGAGAATTGTTTTTCTCCTTTTAATTATTTGTGGTAGTGGAGGAATTGTTTGATTGTATGACTGAAATGTTATGTTTCCCAATTTGTGCAGGGTATATCTTATGGACCTGATCTTTCTGCTTCTAAGGTGATGGCCTTTCTGTTTTGTATTGCTTTGTTTGTATTTTTTTTGGTGCAATATTCTTTAACTGAGATGGTTTTGTGCAAAGAAATGTTTGCACTTTGCATGCCTATTGTCTCATACTTTCCCTGCCTATCAAAGTGGTTTGAAATGTCTTCATCAATAGCTTTTATATCCTTTTCCTTGTATTTCTTCATTTACTCCAAAATTTGGTCCTAGCTTTGTTTTCTTTAAGTTCTCAAGTCCCAAGTTTGATCACCTTATAAAGTGGCACTAGCGCAATTATGCGCACTGTTTTTCAGAAATATTGAAACTCAAACAGTTACAACTACTTTTTATAGGTGCGCCTGCTCCAAGAAAAAGCAAGAGTATATTCCTACAATTGTTTTGTCTTTCAGTCAACAACCATAGACAACTTTGTAAGTGAGGTTTCACTAGCATGGGGCGACCATTCTGGAAGTTATATGCATGTAGTTTCCAGTTACATGGACGAGGAGATTTCCCCATTCATAAGTTCTGACTGGCTGTTCACCGTTCTTCGTGAGTTCCAATGCAATGAAAAGTTTGTGCTTTTTTCTTTTTGATAAGCCACCTATGCACTGATAACTTATAGAAAAGGGAAAAGAGAATTAAGAAGAAAGCACATGAAGTTTTCGGAGAAAAAAGTTTAAGATGTTTCCTATAATTGTTACTGAATGATGGATAGTTTTTAGCTTTTAAGCAACCTACTTTCAAATGTCTTTCCCTCCAAACCCTAGCACTTAAAATGTTCCTTTTGAAGCTCAGATTGGATTTCAAATTTGTTCTCCATGAAAAGGTTCCAAAACTCTCAAAGGCTGCACTTATCTCAAAGAAGTTAAAATCCCTTACGTTGCTGAACTAAATTCTTTAATCTTTACCAACATATGCATGATTTTTTTGATTGAGGTGAGTGGGTATGATAATTATTGTCAGAAGGTTTGATAGCTGTAGTAACTGTGGGTGGAAAGTTTGTTCTCATTCTTTCACATACTGTGCTTGCAAACATCTCATCACCTGACCTATTTTTGCAGGATCTTCGGGAAAAGTGTCAGGTATAAGCTTACAACTATCTTCCCTTCAGACGATTAGTTTCAAGCATATTCAGGGATTTTCCTTCTCATTCTCTAGGGAACTCTTTCATTCTAGCTTGTGAATTTCTGGTGCAATGCCATTTTGAGGAAATTTGTTGACTTCTCTCAAGTGGTAAAATTGTTATCTTCTTCTGAATCTTAAAATTTCTACATTCATGTCAGATGTTGAATATAGTCCTGGAACTGAAAATCCAGGGAAGATTTTCATTAACAAACTTGAAGAATTGCCTCTGACTATCTGCAGTTTGAATAAGAAGGTGAGAAAAATTATGTATACTCATTTGCATTTGGCATCCTTAAACTGCTTAAACAAAGATTTGCTGGGAAACTGCATAATAACTTCACCATAGTGAAGGGCACCCATCTAATGATGAAATACTGTGTACTCATTTGCATTTGGCACCCATCTAATGATGAAAGAGAATCTGGATTTTTCTGCAGATGATGATAATGTCCACTCCTGGTTCAATGCGCTTAACGAAAAGG